AATTTTGATATGTCTTTTTGCCACCTCTTGAAACAGTCCATCTTGTCCAAGATCTGGAGTGTCTGGAATAAAAACAACATTCTAGGCAATACATTCATCTTAATGACAGCAATTCGGCCTAACAAGGAAAGTCTCAACCTTGACCATATTTCTAGATCTTTCTTCACCTCTGTCCAGCATTTGTCGTAATTGTCTTTAAATAAATTCACATTTTTAGAAGTCAAGTTCACACCCAGGTACTTCACCTTTTTTGTTATTACTAAACCTGTTTCACTCTGAAACTTCTCTTTTTCTGTCATTGTTAGATTTTTCTCCAACACTTTTGTTTTTTGCTTGTTCAGGTTAAATCCTGCTACTTGACCAAATATCTCAATTAGTTCTAATACTCTTTTGGTACTAGTATCTGGCTGTTGCAAAGTCAATACTAAGTCATCTGCAAATGCCCTTAATTTGTAATTTCTGGCTCCGACCTGAACTCCTTTAACCAATTGGTCCCCTCTAATCATGTTTAACAAAACCTCCAGGACTGTTATAAAAAGTAAAGGTGATATTGGGCATCCCTGTCGTGTACCTTTTTCTATAGGTATTTCTTCCGTAACCACATTGTTCACAATCAACTTTGCTTTTTGCTTAGAGTATATAGCACCTATACCATTTTCAAAACCTTGGCCTACCCCCATCCCTTGAAGATTCTTCTTCATAAAGGTCCAACAAATGTTATCAAAGGCTTTCTCCGCATCCACAAAGATTAACACCGCCTTTCTATTAATGTTCACTTCCAGCAACTCCAAAATGTCTATAATGTTCCTCACATTGTCCGACATATGTCTCCCTGGGAGAAAGCCTGTTTGGTCCTGATCTATAGGTGGTACATGACCCCAGTCAAACTTGCAAAAATTTATCATTTGCCCAATAATAAATGTTGGAAATGTAATGAGACTGAAGGTACCTTCTATCACCTTTGGTGGATCTGCCCGAGGGTCAAGGCCTACTGGGAAATGATCTATAATGAAATTAAAAAGGTCCTTAAACGGACATTTCCTAAAAAACCAGAGGCTTTTCTCCTGGGCATGGTGGGCCAATTGGTGCCAAGGAAGGACAGAACTTTTTTCATGTATGCTACTACAGCGGCAAGAATTCTTCTGGCAAAGTATTGGAAGACGCAGCAGCTACCCACTCTGGAAGAATGGCAAGCGAAGGTGATTGACTATATGGGAATGGCAGAGATGACCGGCAGAATCCGTGACCAGGGGAGTGAGACAGTGGAAGAAGATTGGAAGAAATTTAAAATATTTAAAATATACCTTAAAAACTGTTGTAAAATTGATGATTGCTGAGATGTTATGGTGTTAAGAAACAGAGAATTGCAGCTGTAAATCATAAGTTTAAGGAAATTATAATGAAAATGAGTTAATTAATTAAATGGAGGGTTGCTGAGAAAGGGTAAATATAAGGATGCAGAAAAAGGGAGGTATGGGGAAGTCCGGGAAGTAAGGTGAAAGAAAATAAGTTTAAGAAATTATATATGTTTATTTGTTTGTATGTTTTGTTTTGTTTTATTGTTTGTTTTTATTATATGTTTGGAAAATTAATAAAAAAATTTTTAATTAATTTAAAAAACAACAACAAAGTGTTGGTGCTGACCTTTAAAGCCCTAAACGGCCTCAGTCCTGTATACCTGAAGGAGCGTCTCCATCCCCATCGTTCAGCCCAGACACTGAGGTCCAGCGCCGAGGGCCTTCTGGCGGTTCCCTCATTGCGAGAAGTGAGGTTACAGGGAACCAGACAGAGGGCCTTCTCGGTAGTGGCACCCACCCTGTGGAACACCCTTCCTTCAGATGTGAAGGAAATAAGCAGCTATCCTATCTTTAAAAGACATCTGAAGGCAGCCGTGTTCAGGGAAGTTTTTTATATTTAACGCTGTATTGTTTTTAATTCTTGACTGGGAGCTGCCCAGAGTGGCTGGGGAAACTCAGCCAGATGGGCAGGGTATAAATAATTATAAATATTATTATTATTATTATTATTATTATTATTATTATTATTACTACTACTACTACTACTATTATTATCATCTGTAACCTGAAGCGTCTGTAACCCGAGCTACCACTGCATTCATCCAGAGTAATTTGTGCAGCAAAGGCCCAGATCACAAACGCACGTTCAACAGAAAAGCACACGCAGAGGTCATTTATACACAAATCCTTTTTGCCTGTTTGAGAAGGTGTGTTGGGCTTACGTAAAGTTGGCCGAGAAAAGAGCCCAGCTTTGCCAAGGATTCTGCTAGCAAAAGCCCCCTCCCCCCCCGGGTTCAATCCTGTAACCCTGGGTATCTACTTCCAGTCAGTGTAGAATTCCTATGCCCCACCAATAACCCAGAGATGCATTTTAAATAAAAGGACACATTCTACTCATGTAAAAACACGCTGATTCCCAGACTGTCATGCCGGATTGAGAAGGCGATTGGGCCGCATCCGGCCCCCAGGTCTTAGGCTGCCTACCCATGGTGTACTGAAGATGTTACTGAGCTCTCGATGGACCAACAATCAGATTGACTTGGTTGACTCCAGTTTCCTGGAATTTCCTCCAGTTTCCAGTTTCCTGGAAGGGATCCTGAGGATCATCTAGTCCAACCCTCTGCAATGCAGGAATATGCAGCTGTCCTTTACGGGGATCGAACCTGCAACCTTGGGGTCGTCAGCACCGTGCTTTAACCAACTGAGCTATTTAAACCAGTCCTTTATTCAGAACCATGAGGTCTAGAACCTTAGCTTCTTATTCTTTTTTTAATGAAAATCTCCACATAGACAAATATACACGAGTTACATAACAAATAAAACAGAAAACGATACAAAGGAATAGAAACAATGAAATAAGAAAAGATAAAGAAACAAACATAAACAAATACAATATATTACACTTACATGACAGATTGAAATATATAACTTCCAATAATTCTCATTATACTACTTATATTATCTGTATTCCTTGCACAGATTCATATTTATATTTTTTTTGGTATATAGATATAATCCACTATAGGGATGCGGGTGGCGCTGTGGGTAAAAGCCTCAGCGCCTAGGGCTTGCCGATCGAAAGGTCGGCGGTTCGAATCCCCGCGGCGGGGTGCGCTCCCGCTGCTCGGTCCCAGCGCCTGCCAACCTAGCAGTACGAAAGCACTCCCGGGTGCAAGTAGATAAATAGGGACCGCTTACTAGCGGGAAGGTAAACGGCGTTTCCGTGTGCGGCTCTGGCTTGCCAGAGCAGCGATGTCACGCTGGCCACGTGACCCGGAAGTGTCTCCGGACAGCACTGGCCCCCGGCCTCTTGAGTGAGATGGGCGCACAACCCTAGAGTCTGTCAAGACTGGCCCATACGGGCAGGGGTACCTTTACCCTTACCTTTATAATCCACTATTATATTTTAGGTAATACTTGGTTGCCAGTATCACTCTATTCCTGCAAGTATCTTATTGTTTGTACAGTACATTTTAAAGTATTCTTTAAATATTTTCCATTCCCTATATACCTTAGTTTATTCTTTAGTTTTATCCCGACAAGACAAAAGTGCTGTTTCTGGGGGACAGGGGGCAGGCAGGTCCTGAATGGGGCAACTGTGCCCCTGAAGGACCAGGTGCGGAGCCTGGGAGTCATTTTGGACTCACAGCTGTCCATGGAGGTGCAGGTCAGTTCTGTGTCCAGGGCAGCTGTCTACCAGCTCCATCTGGTACACAGGATGAGACCCTCCCTGCCCGCAGACTGTCTGGCCAGAGTGGTCCATGCTCTGGTTATCTCCCGCTTGGACTACTGCCATGTGCTCAATGTGGGGCTACCTTTGAAGGTCACCTGGAAACTACAATTAATCCAGAATGCAGCAGCTAGACTGGGGACTGGGAGTGGCTGCCGAGACCATATAACACCCATCCTGAAACACCTACATTGCCTCCCAGGATGTTTCTGAGCACAATTCAAAGTGTTGGTGCTGACTTTGAAAGCCCTAAACAGCCTCGGTCCAGTAGACCTGAAGGAGCGTCTCTCCATTGTCCAGTAAAATTACAGGGAACCAGGCAGAGGGCCTTCTTGGTAGTGGCACCCGCCCTGTGGAACGCCCTCCCATCAAGGAGATAAGTAACTATACAACCTTTAGAAGACATCTAAAGGCAGCCCTGTAGAGGGATTTAAAAAACAACAAACACATGTTTAATGTTCTATTATGTTTTTATATGTTTATGTTGGAAGCCACCCAGAGTGGCTGGGTTAGCCCAGTCAGATGGGCAGGGTACAAATAATAATAATAATATTCTTTCTAGCAGCGATAGGATTTTAAAATTATTATTATTAGAGGGTTTTTTGAGTAGAAACCCTGGGGAAATGAGTTACCTTACCCTTGCTGAAATTAAATAATTGATTTTTTTTTTTTTGGTCGGGGAGGGCTAGGACAGAGGGCTGGCCCACTATTATTATTATTATTATTATTATTATTATTATTATTATTATCATTATTATTACTATTACTATTATTATTTACACCCAATTCCTGAGCCAAAACTCCACCTATGTCTGTAAGCAATAAAGTTTCTGGCCATTTCTAATCCAGATCAATGTCTGCTTGAGTTTATTCATCCAATCTTACATTTCCCAAAGTTGGGGTGAGGGTACAACGCTGCAACTGGGCCCGAAAGAAAGAAAGAAAGAAAGAAAGAAAGAAAGAAAGAAAGAAAGAAATGAACTTCGTGGTGAGTCCCCCCCACCTTTATTAAAAAAAGCACTGGTCATTATTTTTAGCAGTATTCGCATGACCAATCCACTGTGTTCATTCATTTTCCCGTTGAAAGGAAAACGCGCCCTCGAACGAAGGCGCCGCGCGGCCAGCAGAGGACGCTGCCCGGCGGGTTCCTCTGAGGCGGGCGCGTCGCAGCGGCAATTCTCCGGCGCCAGGGGGCGCTTCTCCCGGCTCCGTCGGCTCCCCCCCACCCCGCCCGCCTCCCTTTTGTTGCCTGGGGTGCCTGGCTGCTATATAAGCGGCGGCGGGGAGGAGTCCGCAGCTCGCTGCTCCCTTCCGCGCGGCCGCCTGCTGCTCCTCTTCGCCCGAGACTCGCCCCGCCGCGCGGAGACGTCGCCCGGCCGCCATGGAGATGAAGAAACGGCTCAACCTGGAGCTGCGGAACAAGAAGCCGGCCGAGGTGAGCCTTCCCTCCTTCCCCCGGCCCAGGCCCGGCTGCCTTCCCCCGCCTCCGGCCCGCTTCGCGCACACGTGTGCGCGGCCGACATGTTGGAGACGCGCGCCGCGCTCCTGGGCGCACGGAAACCCATCCTCGCCCTGCAGTTTTTGGAGTGCCCTTTTCCCCATTTCTTCTCTTTTCTCCGCGCCTTCTTCCTTTCCTCCCCGATCCTTTACATCCCTGTCTCTTGGAGAGAAAAAAGGGGGGGCCTCGACCTATTTTTTGGCGACCCCTTTTAAGAACCCCCCCCAAAAAAACCCAACAGCAACACATGCGCCGCTTTCCCTTTCGCCTCTCCAAAAGTGTGTTTTTACGCACAAGAGAAGTTTTAGGGGGTTCTTGGAACAGGCGGATTTAAAAATAAAATAATCAAATTGGGATCTGTTTTTTGGGGGGAGGGGGGTCCTGTCCCGCCCCTTGACCCATATGTTTTGTAAAGTGTGTGTGTGGGGGTGGGATTCGGTTTCCCCTGCATTCTGAATGCTTGCTTGGGGGCTTGAACCGAGGCCTGCTTGGCTACTTCCCACGCCTAGTTGAGGGTTTTTTTAATGGGGGGGGAGGAATTGCTTGTTTCTTTACGGGGACGGGGGGAGAGAAAGAGAGAGCTCGGTGAGTGGGGTAGTTATGTGGCCTGGGGGGGTGGCTTAAAAAAATATTCCCACCCCAGGAATGTTGGAGTAGGCATTTGAATGTTTTCCGGAAAGGTGGAGCGGATAACCCCCCCCACCCCACCCCAAAGGGAGAAAGAAATGCGCTGTAGGCCTTCGACCGCCCCCCTCCATCCCGGGAACGTGGGTCAGAGTTGTGAATTGTGATTTCCCCCGGCTTCGTTACTCCGGGCTCGCTTTACCCGGTCTATAAATGATGCGTAACTAAAGCGCACATGGTGGGTTTTTTGTTGTTGTTTTTTAATGCAATCTGGGGGTGGGGGTGGGGGAGGATGGCGGCAGTTTCCTCCCTACCCATAGGCACTCCCCCCCTCCTTAAACCGCTTCCCAAAAGGACAATTCATCTCTCCTCCCCACTCCCGCCAGCTGCGCACGTGGAAACGCGTTTACGAAAGAAAAAAAAAATCCAGGCGATTATATATATAGCTATTGGTGCTGGGAGGAGGGCGATCAGTGAGGGAAGAGTTTGTTTCCCACCCGCTTAATTCCCTCCTCCTAAACCCCCCCCCCCATTTTACCACCTCGGGGAGTGGGAGGAGAAAACCACAGTGGAGCTTTTGAGAGCGCAGAGGAAAGGAGGGGGTTTGGCGCTGGGTGGCTGCGCGGCTCGCCAAAGAAGGCGCTGCTTTGTAAAAAAAAAAGGGGGGTTGAGATTAAATTCTCAATAGGTTTCCCCCTCCCCTATTGGTTTTGGGAGAGAAGCAGAAAGGGAAAGGAAAGGGATGTTGCGGGGGGGGCGGAGTGGATGCATGCCGAGCCGCGTCCACGTGTAGCTTTTTTTTGGACGCGTGGGGGGGAAGGGATGGGGACTGGGTCAGGCAGGCGGATGGAGAGGCCAAGGGGGCCTTTTATGGTTTGGGGGTTTAAAGGGTCATCCAAGATGGTCTAGCAGCAGGGGGGGAGCGTGGCTTGGGCTGAATGAAAGGCGGGTTGCGGGGGGGGGGGAGAGGGCGGTGACACACACACAAACCAATTGAATTTATGGTTGCACCCAGGAGCTGGGAAATAGAGCCTTGACCCTGACTTGGAGGGGGGGGGGTTCTGAAACTGCTGTTAGAAGTCTTGCAGAACACACACAAACACTGTGTGTGTGTGTGTGTGTTTAGGTTTTCTGGTCCATTTTGAGCAATGCTTTTGGCTGGGTTGCACCCAGGAGCCAAGCTGACCCGAATTACTGAGGGCTCCTTGCCTCCAGTTTGGATCAGCCACATTTTGGGGGGGGGGTGTTTTGTGTATGGGGGGGGCTTGCCAGGTGTGGACACTGGTCCTCTGCTGTTGCTGCGCCAGGCGCCTGGCTTCCTGTGTGTGTGGCTGCCATTGTGGGGGTTAAGCCTTGGCGCCCCCCCCCCGCCTCTTTTGGGAGGAGCCAGGACTGCCTCCTCCACTCCTGATAGCTTGGGCAGTATCATGGCTCCCCCAGCAAGGAACTCTGGGAATTGTAGTTCTTTGGGGGGGAGGGACTATAAACTGGCACATCTGGGGGGAATCCTGTTTGGAGGGGCAGTTTGCGATCATTGTACCTGTGTTTAAGAATAATTTCAGCGTGTTTCACGTAGAAAACGCCCTCCCTTAAAAATTAGAAAGAGCCACGCTTAACTACGTAAAACTTGAGTCAGGTCATTGTCTGCATTGGATAGTAGCAGCTCTCCAGCTGAGAGCTTTCTGCATGCCTAGCAGGTGTACTGGGGGGTCTTCTGCACTCCAAGCAGTTGTTCTGCCACTGAGAACCTATGTATTCATCGCATTGTTGAGACAGGGTGATGGGGGGGGCAGCCTCTCTATTTGGTGTTAGAAACTCCCGATTTTTAAGCTAGTCGCCAAACTTGCACCTTAGACCTAGCTTACGGTTGCCACAATGGAATGACTAGGTGTCTGTTTTTTTCATTTTTGCAGTGAACTTTATTATTGCCGTTATTAATTATTTCGGTTTCTCTTCTGCTTTTATATTTTAAAGGGGGAGGGCTGTCTCTAAGCGGTTTGCAACACATTAAAATGTCCAGTCAAATGATCTGGAATGAAAAAAATTCAAGCTCCAAGGAAAACATTTCAGATCCTTCTCTCCAGTAGATGACGAGTCTCTGTCCTCAAGGAGCTTGCAGTTTAAAATAGGGGGGAGGGGGAATGAGAGGAAATTGTGTTGGATTGCATCCAAAGAAATTCTAACCGTTGCAATTAGTGGCTCTGAATTAAAAGGGCAGTTTAATTTCAGCGGGTCTGCTCTGAGTAGCACTAACAACCCATTGTGTTTCCTTCAAATGTTATAGATGGTGGTAATAATAATAATAATAATAATAATAATAATATAGTATTTATATGCCGCCCTGGCTGCTGGTCCTGCTAGCTAAGGATGATGGGAGTTGTAGTCCAAAAACAGCTGGAGACCCAAGTTTGGGAAACTCCGACCTAGAACGTTTCAGGTGTGCGGAAATGCTTTTCCTTAATTCTCCCCCCAGTAAGGTAGGCTAGCAATGACCTTGGCTGTTCCACCTGCGAAATGGGGATAAGGATAGGACTTGCTCATAACATTTGTGGCTGGGTCAAGATGGAAACCAGTGTCTATTCGGCTTGGACTCGTTCCATTTCCCCCTGCCTTGAAAGTGCCTTAGGGACTGTTTGTCAAAAGGCGACACCGCAAATTCGGGGCCAGTCTGAATTGGTGTGGGCTTTTAAGTTACTGAAGGGACGCGGGTGGCGCTGTGGGTAAAAGCCTCAGCGCCTAGGGCTTGCCGATCGAAAGGTTGGCGGTTCGAATCCCCGCGGCGGGGTGCGCTCCCGTTGCTCGGTCCCAGCGCTTGCCAACCTAGCAGTTTGAAAGCACCCCTGGGTGCAAGTAGATAAATAGGGACCGCTTACCAGCGGGAAGGTAAACGGCGTTTCCGTGTGCTGCGCTGGCTCGCCAGATGCAGCTTTGTCACGCTGGCCACGTGACCCGGAAGTGTCTCCGGACAGTGCTGGCCCCCGGCCTCTTAAGTGAGATGGGTGCACAACCCTAGAGTCTGTCAAGACTGGCCCGTACGGGCATGGGTACCTTTACCTTTACCTTTTTAAGTTACTGAGAGCTCTTCTATTGGGTGGGATGAGAGGGGAATGAGCTTTAGCAGACGAGGACACGACAAATATTTTTCTGCTGCCCTTGACAGGGGTCTGCCACAAGTAGTGTTTCCGGAAGGGCCTTGACGGTTTTGGAGTACAGCTTTGGCGGTATATGGCTGGGCTGACCAGCAGTGTTAGAAATTAGCCATGTGCATTTTGCGACTGGCGTGGGTCCGATTGTGACCACGCGGAGATCTGTGTGCCAGTTTGGCACCTGGCTAGTCCCTCCAGCTTCCTTAAGCAAGTCAGCGGAAGAGCTTATTTGTTGACCTGATCTCCCAGCTTTTTCCCCAAGGAGTCCATGGTTCATCCCCCTCCGCAGTTAATGCCTGCAACGACCCTGCGAGGTAGATCAGGAGGTTGTGGCTGACTCCAGTCACCCAGTGAGCTTCCTGACGGGAGTGGGGATTCCCTGATCTCCCAGGTCCCAGTCTATGACACTCTAACCACTACCCCACCCTGCCTTCCTAGAGGCCTCCTGCTATGGGGCAGCTCTATAAATTGAGTACAGTGGTACTTCAGGTTACATAATATGCTTCAGGTTACAAACCCCGCTAACCAAGAAATAGTGCTTCAGGTTAAGAACTTTGCTTCAGGATAAGAACAGAAATTGTGCTCCGGCAGTGCAGCAGCAGCAGGAGGCCCCATTAGGTAAAGTGGTGCTTCAGGTTAAGAACAGTTTCAGGTTAAGTACAGACCTCCGGAACGAATTAAGTACTTAACCTGAGGTACCACTGTATGTACAGTGGTGCCTCGCAAGACGAAATTAATTCGTTCCGCGAGTTTTTTCGTCTTGCGATTTTTTTCGTCTTGCGAAGCACGGTTTCGGGAAAGTTTTGGAAAAGCTTCAAAAATCACCAAAGTCTTCAAAAACCTCAAAAAAGGCTACCACACCGTGTGCTATGAGTTGCTCCTCGAAGTCAAGTCGCAACTGTATTAACGGTGTTAAGAAAAAGGAAACAAACTTGCAAGATGTTTCCATCTTGCGAAGCAAGCCCATAGGGGAAATCGTCTTGCGAAGCAACTCAAAAAACCCTTTCGTCTTGCGAGTTTTCCATCTTGCGAGGCATTCGTCTTGCGAGGTACCACTGTACTAAATAAATAGGGGGAGAGTCAAATGTGCCTTAGAGAAGAATCTGAAATACAGTGGTACCTCGGGTTAAGAACTTTGCTTCAGGATAAGAACAGAAATTGTGCTCT